AGCTGGGGCGTTTGGCGAGGGGAGAGAGCCGAGGGGCTGGGGTGACGGCCGCTGCTGCGTGGCCTGCGCCCCTGCTCCTCACCCTCTGGGCCGGGGAGCGCGGGAGTGGGAAACCGCAGCTGCGAGTTGTACCCCGTCCTTCGCCTGTGTTGTTTTCTGCTGTTGAGGGATTTGATTCCTGTCCACCGAGCGTGTGATTTCAGTGCTGCTTAAGTGATTACAAGGTATGAGTATGTGTGCAAGATTTCAGCTGCATTAACTGTGGTAAGTCTCTGATGAGACGGGGGTTTACTTGGTCTGATACACTGTATTTTCCAGTGGGAGTGAGCTGAGATGCTGATAATGTTTCAGTTAGTGATTCACAGAACACCGATATATGTTAACATGCACTGTCTCGTTATCCAGCGTTAAAGCAAAATGTCATCATCGTCGCAATCATCCTTATCTTTACCTGTGCATAACTGTACTGCTCCTTTATTGGACTCTGATCTTCAGGAAAAGCTGCTTCTTCCTCATGCTACAGAGGCAAGTTTATTCAGTTCCTGCTAAGCTTGATTTTTTTTTCATTCTGTTTACTTTGTTAACAAGATTCAAAACAGTTCAAAACGTACTTCCTAGCTACAGATGGAAAGTAGGTGATAATTCAAAAAATGGGTAGTGAGAGTGCTGGACATCAAAATGGTATACTAAAACTATGGAGAAATTCTTACTTGTTCTTTTCTGCTTACAAAGGTGGGCTAAGATAAATGAAACATGATGTTTAATCTTCCAAGGTGCTGTTTTCACTGGAAATAATCAAATTCAAGAACTTGGTTTTGATTATATAACCAAGAAAAAGCTATAGAGACCTGCACTGTGTGACACAAGTTGAGATCTGCCAGGAAATGTAAGCCTGTAATAAAACAAGACACATAAATATATATGTAAAATAGAAAACAGTAGACGTTCGGAGTGTAGTTATTTGCCTTATGGCAACAGCTGGAAGCAGAGCAGTCTATATTCTGATTCTGTGAGGAAGTGTTTTTTTTAGGTGGGAACTTCCCAAATTCTGTTACTCATTTTCTCAGTTATGCTAAGGAGATACGGATGTAAGAACATAAACTCTTAGTCTGACAAATCATTTTGGTGGAGATGCACCTGGTACAGGCTGAAAGCAGGAGAAATGAGTCCTGGTGGGGGGAGAAGGCAAGACAATCCACTTTTTCAAAAGAATGACTAGTTAGTGGAGCACAGAGCGGAGCAAGCAGATAACTTTGTGCTTGGTGAGGGCATCAGTCACGCTGGAGTGTGAGGAAGGAGGCAGGAGAGAGGTGTTTGGAGAAGGGATGAGGGTGACGGCAGGTTCCTGGTGCTTGACAGGGAAGCGGGGGGGAATGCGATGTGTTTAAGGTAGTAGGCACTGAGACTTGGCTCTGGACTTGCCCTGACACGGCAGCATCATGTTCCTGTGCAGCCTTTCAAGGTGAGGAGCTTTTCCAAATTGGGAAAAGAAAAAAGCCATTGCTGCTTCCAAATTCGAACTGCTGTGAAACATAGTATCGGTGTCTGAGCAGGACTTGGCCTCCACTGGAGGTAAACTGTTTACCTTTGCATTGTGGATTAGGTGTGTTCTGTGAGTGATCGGTTTGAGGGTACATTCTGTGAGATCACAGGCTTTTATCCATGTTGGAAATCATAAATGAGAGATTTCTTTGATCTTTAAAATTTCTCCTAAACAATTCTCCTGAAGACCTGACTTGTTTTATATTGATATCCTTGAATTAGCAAGATCAGTGTCCTAACTGTGAGTGATACTAAATGTTACATAATCATGAGTGCTATTTCAAGGAAAAAAGTATGTGTCACTTGGAGAAGCAGGAAAACTCTGTTCACTGAATCAGCCGTATAGAAAGGATTATCATAGAACTGTAACAGCCATCCAAGATCGAAAATACTTCACTGATCTAAGCAAAGAACCTGACAGTCTAGAACACCAAGTAAGAAAATATGTAAGGCATAAACACAGAACCAATGCAAATGTACATTTCTTACGCAAATCTTAAACTCATATGTGTCTTATCATCTTCTTTAATAGACGTATTAGGAAGATATTTTTTTTGTTATGTCTTGTGCACTAAGAAAGTTCCTTCAAAGCTGGAAGGAATTTGGTGGGCTATGTATGTTAAAACAGGAGGTGGATCACAATGAATTCCTGTTTACAGCAGTGTCTATGGAACTTGCACAGAAACCTGTTGGAGTGGAGAATGTAGATTTCTTTTACAATTAAATGGGATTTGTCATTGCTGACTTTCTTAGGTTTCTTTCGGAAGTCATAAAGCTAGTCTTTTGTTCTTGCAAGCTAACAGAGGTGGGTGTTTATTCTGAACTTTTTTTTAATTTTAAAGGTAATATTCTTGATTTTCAGGTTTTTGTAGACAATGCTAGCTGTCTTACAGCATGAGGCTTTTTGTTGATTGTTAGAGAGAAAGTTCATAGAGAACTAACTGTGGGGAAGACAATTTCCTGAGAATGGAATGATGATACGAGTCATTTAGGTTTCCGGTCACTTCTCAATTCTGGGAAGTCTTCTAGGCACTTCTATTTTTGCTGATGAATTGCTGTGGCATCACAAAACGTTATTCCTGTTTATACATTAGTTATTTGCTGATAGCAAATCTTACTCAGTGTAGTCAGGAAAGGATAGGACTACCACTGAATACAATGTTTGTAAGTTTGCAGTACATGCAGAGGTGGAAACCTGGATGCAGAATTGTAGTTCCTGTACTGACTTTACAGATAAACATGGGATCAAGACTACAGAATATTCTGAGGAATTATATGCAGACCAGGATAAAATGACTGCTTTGCAAGGAGTTGTAGTAAAACTTTTGAATTCAAAGTTTCCACCTTGAGGCAGTGGGTTTATCCTCTCACTAGTGCAATTAAAATGTTTAGGATTTACAATCTGAAAGTCCCACAAGTCTAATTTTTTTTAAATGGAAAGTTACTCCACCCCCAAAATTGGACATTTTAAAATGAGAAGTTTAATTGACAATATTATAGGCACATAAATTCTTTTGGATTTGTAGTAACAGTTAATGTAGGTTGGTTTTTGTACTCTCCCAGCCTATGCTTTCTGGTTCAGTCTTCAAATTCTCCTAACTGAAATTCCTGAAAGGCTTTAATATTTAATATTAATTTAAAAAATTAATGAGTTGTACAAATGCTTTTACTATTTGGCTGTGTGTTTAAGTAAAGGTATTTAGCTAAAACCATACTTTAAGTAGCTTGTGAATATGCGAGCTTTTATATTTAAATGTACCAATTTGAAAATGTAGCAAGTTCTGTGTACCACATTCAAAACTGTTGAAAAGATGCTAAATCAATTTTAATCAAAAGTAATTTTTTAATGTTTCCTGCTTCTGTCTTGCAGTTAGACAGTGAAAACATTGACACTTTGATGCAGAAATTAAGTGAAAATGAAACCCAAAATACTGTAAGTAAATTAAAATTTCTGTGTCTTTTTGTTCTATGCTGTACATCTGAAAACGGCTATGTCATTGTATCATACGATTTCAAGTGACAGTGGCAAGGTGGGAGTATTTGTGCTTTACTGTCACAAAATGGAATCTTAGTTTTACATTTGAAATGTTCATCAGTGTGCATTGCTGTTGCATTGTTGTGTACAGACATTAAAATAATTTCTTTGTTATTTTTTTTTTCCTTGAAGAATCTCAGGAGAAAAATACTTGAAAGGGAGAAACATGTTAAAGAACTTTCATCCAGGCTTCAGCTTGAAAAAGTGAGTTACCAGTTCTTTCGGAATGAATGTTTTCTCCCAATGTACTAGATTCTTATTTAGAAATTTTAGATTTTGAGAAAAGCAATTATTTCAAAGATCTATGAAAAAGGAAAATCCTGAAAGTTGTTTCCTGCAGAAATATCTTAAAACCATCTAGACTGTATCCAAACCTATTAAGGATCCTATTAAGGATACAGGTTATCCTTAACACTAATGTCCCATTGTTAGAGAGGGGCACACATCTAGACTAACAGCTTTTGGCTTCTAGTTTACAGATTTGCAATAGTTCTGGAAAAAAATGCTTAGAATGAAGTAATACTGAGTAAACTAAACAGATACTATTCACAGTTAGTTTCCATGGCTCTTCGAGCTCGATGAATAGAGAAACGTAGTACTGACAGCAGAGCTAATATCATCAAAGGCTGACAAGACCTCATTCATTCTCTGAATCAAAGGAAGGGACTCAGTGCAGAGACCAACATAGGAAAAGAAGAATTATCTGTTCTGTATAAGACAGTACTACAAAAGTTTCAAAATTATTTTACAGGTAGTTTAGCAATCTGTGTTACAGTACTTGTATACCAAAAGCGCACTTTATGTGTATGCAATGCAGTGTGGTTCAGTGTTAGTGAGGGGCAGAGCAGGCTCATCTTTAAGGGGACAAGGGTGTACTTCGATTTTTGTAACTCCTTGGGGTTTGTTGAGAGCTGTGGTCGTTCTTTAAGAATTTTTCTTTGCTTAACCAAGAGAACGTATCTCTTGGCTGCAGGATAAACTTAGCCAGCTAATTGTAACAGAGGAGCCTGTGGGGGTTCCCACTTTCACACCTGGCAATTGGCATGTCCTTGTCTTCATCTTGAAGTGAAACAGCATGTTTTCATAGAAACATCCTTTTGCTTGAGAATAGAAGTGCTGAACAGAAAAGCCTGTAAAGATTCTGAAAACCACAGTGCCAGGAAACCTCAGCATTGATGGGATCTGTGCAGCATGCCATACCCTGACTAGAGATCTATCTAATGCTGAACAACTTGGGGTACCCAGCATCTGAGGGGATAAATGATTATCTATGCTAGCTCCTTGTTTCTTCTTATTTCCTACTCCAATAAATGGCTTTTTTATTAATACCTGATGGAATCCGAGTCTGCCTTTCTTACTGATATCCATAATGAACACTTGCACTGGTGCATTACAGTGCTCTTCTACTCTATACTGATAATATGACTTCTTTCCACCTGTTTTCATTATTTCTTATTTAGAATGAGGCAAAGGAATTGAGTTGCAAGATATTTCATAGAATCATCTGACCTCAGTTCTGGTGACATAAGTTGTCTCTTCCTTATGCTTTCTGTATCCCTCCCCAAATTATAGTTTGAATTAAATGTATCAATATGGCTAACAGCAGGTGGTGGTCTTTGGTATTTAATGAAGATCAGTTCAGGTCTAATTAGGCAAGGCAGACCTGATCAGTGTGGCTTACTTTTGGTCAACCTGCTAGCTAGGTGCCTTTTCTCAGCCTAGATTCCTGAGTTCGTGCTTCCAGGCCTTGTTCATACTACTTAAAGAGTCACATTAAATATGAAGCATCAATTACACATACATTCTTTCAAGTTTGTGATTTTGTTTAACAATGTTATTCTCAAGCAGTAACTTGTTACTATATTTGTAGAGCATGTTTTGTCTTTTCCAGCTTTTGAGGACATGCAAATGTCAGTTAGAAACTGTAAGGCAAAATAGAAAGTATATAGATAGCATCATACAGCATATCTCCATAGACCAATAAATTCGTGTTTATTTCTCTTTATTAGGCCAAGGTACAGAAAGAAGACCATCTGTCAGGATCAGTAAAGGCAGTACAAGCTCACCTGCAATGTCAGATTCAAAGAAAAGAAGAGGAAAATAATGAATTAAAAGTGAAAATACAGGTCACCATATTTTCACTTCTGTTCCAGTTTATTTGAATAAATTAGAAAAGCCTTACTGTGGTCACAGTTTAACTCAGATCTGAGAGTTAAATCTTGAAGTATCACTTGAAATCAAACTCTTGGTAAAAGAAAAATCCCAAACAGTAAAAATCATTAGCATTTATATTTTGCACAGTCTGCCTGACCACACTATCTTAATTGCAAGTTTTGTTTTTTTTTCTTTTCTCAACTTCTGCATACTAGCTGTTCTGCTGAAGAGAACTTAAGCACACATAGAAGCATTTGCACTTACCTAACTGTGCTATCTAAAGCACAGATATCAATCCTGAGGCAGTCTCCATATAGTCAATAGAAGGAGATAGGCAAGTCCCCAGAATGAGTTTCTGTTGTAAAGTAAAGGTGATGGATCACCACCTGTTTCTTTTTATTGACTGTGAAGGAATCAATAAACCTCTTAATACTCACTGAAAGAGAAACACTTAAGACTAATGCCTGACCTCACTTTGTTTAAGGTAGGTGAAATGGTTTCTACTTTCTGCTCTAAAAAGCAAGAGGTAAATTTGGGAATTTGCAGCAGCTACTGGCTTTAGAACAAGACAAGGAAGAGGTCATGTGTCAGAGGCTGGAGCTGTATTTGGCCTCAGATTTTAGCATTTGAAACTTGTCAAGAGCATAGGCATGAATGAGAAAACACTGGCTGAAATATAGTGTATTTCTGATTTCCAAACTATTTTGGTAGCATACATCCCCTATGAATTGTATCATTTGAAGTTGTTAGGGAACCTTTAGCAACTCAATTTCAAAAAGAGTCATGTATGTCTACATCTGTATAAATACCTCATGTTTCCTTCTGAATAAAAATTGCTTTATTGTTCTACCTAGTGCAATTAGAATTCTCACAACATTGTCATTAAGTGATACATGATAAAGTAACTTGATACACAACTGTATTTTCATTCAATCTTTATTTTAAAGTTTTGTTTTCCCTTCAAAAAGTGCTGAAGTCAGTTGCTACCTTAAATCCTGGTGACGGCTTTGTTAACATCTGGACAAAAGCTTCAAACAACTTAGGATTACCCTTATGAAACTAATTCTCAATTTAAATTTATCTCAGTCACTGAATAATGCCCAAAGCTCTTATTCTTAGTGTAATTGTGACCTCCTGTGGTTGAAACAGGGGATAACAGTTGTTTACTTGATATCAACAGTTAAAGAAGTCCATACATAGACTCAGGTTTTCTATTTGCTCTATATATTGAAGACATTCTGCTGCCACCCCCCCAAGTCACATCTTTATTAAATGCCCTATAAGCATCTATATATAAAAATTGCTTCCTGCATATTTAGGGGATTTTATAATTTCATTTTTTGAAGTAGTATCCTTGTTGATCTGTCCCAGTACTTGAGACCATCTTTCATTTGCAAAACCACAATTTTGCATTGATTATGGATAAGTTTTGGGGCCATTAGCAGGACCTATACTGACAGATATCCTCTCATATGCATAATATGTGTATTTTTAGTAACTGGCAAATAGTATCTTGAACAAGGCTGGCACATTAATGTAGTCAGTAGGTAAATGGCATGTCATTCTCGTCTTTATTCATGCAGAATATAATGAAGTGTTGTGTCAGACCTAGACTTTAATGTGGGAAACAAATGCATTAATCATTCTTACAATTAGGATATTTATCAGTGACTTGAGACAAATTTATTTACACTGCTAGCCTACTTATATTGCTGTAGTTTGGCAAAAGAATAGTAAGTGATATGAATGGGACTTGCACTCGTTGTTATAGAAGTAGTTGTATACTGGTAGCTTGCTCATGTTTTTGATAAGCTGTAGCACCTTAAAAATTAACACATCTGAGATTCTTCTTGAAGCAGAGTCTGGTATTGCTTTTATTGTATGTTATCATGTAGTGTTTTAATGTCTGGTCTCTTTTTCCATTCATATTTAAATAACAAGTCATAGGTAGGTGAAAAATACAGAAGTCATGAAGATAGGTCAGCTTCCTGTGTTGGATGGGATCATTACACTGCCTTCATCAGTGACATAAAAATATAGTTAGAAATATTAACAGCAATAGAAAAGATAATATAATGATAGTTGTAGAACCCAGCTCATCTCAATTGCATTGTACACATTTGACAATACAATTAAATGCATTAAAATACATTTAATGTATTTTTACATGTCTTTAAATAAAAATGCATTTAATGCAAATGTATTTTATTTCTTGAGTGTGGCAAAATCAAGCACTCAGGAAATTATATTTATTTGTTGGCCTTACAATGTGTGATTTACCGCTGTGGTTTAAGCTTTATCATAGCCTGTTTTAATTACCTTTAAACAATTGTCTGCTGTGGGCAAGGCAGTGCTTAATCTTTTCCTTTTGCATTTTCTGCTTCACTATCCATTGAAGAGGAAATATAACTTGCCATAAAAAATAGTTTCTTCACTAAATGATTCTGTTTCATTAATAGACTAGGGCCATTATATGCATGGGAAAAAGTCAGAGATCTTGCAAGAAAATAGTATATGTCATCTAATCACAGAACATATCATAATACATACATTCAAGAAAAGACCCTGGCCTTTCCTAGATTCTTGACTTAAGATCATGGATTTTGTTTTTTTAACTTTCATATTCAAGTTTCATACACAGTTATACTGATCTCCAGCCCTAGTTATGTGTGTGCTCACTATAGATTCAGAGCACATACAACTCTTACATCAGTGAATATCACTAGTAGCATCATTAAGGTGATATTCTTTACAGAAATCAGTTAGTAGGGATGATGAAACGACTTTTATTTTCCTCCCCATAAACGCATTTAACTTCCATGCCATGCCTTCTACATTGAAGTTCTGCATCCATTTCCAAGAGCACACAGCAATGGTTAGATTGTTGTCTTTCCCCCTAAGCCTGCCTGCTTCTGCACCTCCTCAACCTCTTCTCTTGATTATGAGTTTGCCAACATGTATTTTCTTTTGCCTACTGCTGTACATACCTTGGCTAGCTCTTTGTATCAACCACAATATTTGAGATACAAAAATACTATGGAAACAGATTATAAATGTAGTTGCTATTCCTGATTATGTTATGTCACAAAATGGTCTGTAAGGTATAGAATTTTTTAAAAGTTGATATTTAATTATACTCCAGACTCTAGAAAAGAAAATAGCAGAGTGGAAACTTCAAGTTGGTGAATACAAGCACCAGATGTTAGCCTTAAGGGAAACAAGTGAGCAAAAGAAGACTGCTCTGAAAAAAGCAATCAGGTCCCAGAAACAGAGAGCTGAACACTTTGAAGCAGCTGTGGAAAATTTAACCTCCAGAATAAGAGAACGTGTGAGTGACTATGCTGGGAGCAGTGTTGTACTCTGTTGTTTTAAATTGAACAATTGGGAGACTTTCACCTGTGGAAAATAGGAAAAGTTGGTTGGTCATGCTGTGTTTGTATCTCTCTTATTTTTTTGCTCCTTGGTTAAGGAAACAGTTCCTATAAGTGACGTGCACACTGTTACTACATTCACTGCCTTTGTTTTGTTTTGTTAAAATTTAGTGAATGTCTTAATCCATGAGGTTGTACACTTCAAACTGTAGTAAGAGGAGTCTGATCAGCTTGCTGTTACACCTCTTCTGATCTTCCTGTTAGACTTTTATAGATATATACAGACTAATTTCAGCAGTACAGTATACTAACTGAGAACCCATGATTGCAGTTTGAAATCTTAGTTTTATTTATCAGTGTATGACATCTCATGTGGATACTTAGCTTTCCATTTCTAAACTGTGTACTCTGAACCTTTTCAAAATCCATGTGCAGAACTTCCTAAATCCAAATTGTTCCTTAGATTCTTGAGCCACATAACCCTACAGTATGTAACTGTTCAAAAAGGCCAGGTGGATCAGAACTGTGCCGGGATCTTTATTGCCTTATTTAGATTTCCTAATAAGAAATACTAGTTCTTAAAACTAATGTTTTCATACTCTTACATGTGTTGCCATCATTTTGGATATGTCTGTATTAAAGATACATTTTTCCAGTTAGTATACTAGATGGTTAATAGTATTTTTTTGTTTTCTTTGAGCTTTGTGAGAAGACAGTAGTGGATCTTTAAGCACACTTAGCAGTACAGAGGGATGGCAGCTAACTCCTGAACTTTTGAAGTTTTGTAGTCACACTGTTGTTTTCTTCCCCCATTGAAGAGCTGGTGTACTTTCAAGACAGCATGTGTTGGTTAATTATTCATAATTCTTTGAGGCACTTCACTAACTTACCTAGTTATTGGTTTTTATTCTTAAAATGTTTTGTCAATAATTTTGTTTCTTTATTAATTTATATAATGTATATGTATTAGAGACAAATATTTTTGTTGTAAGAAAATGTTAATCTTAAATTTTGAAATATTGTTGTATTCTACAGTTGATACACAGTGCCAGTGTTTAACTATGTCACTGCCTTGAATGTAAGCCTGTACTTAGACCTTAAGTTTTTACAATGTGTGTAGTTTTGTTTATTTTCTTTTGAGACAAAATTTACATTGCTTTGTACTTGGAAGTTCTAAGCCATCTCATAATATTAAATAAATTAATCTCATTAATATTAAATAAAGCTCATATGTTTAGAAAATTTTGTAGAACTAGATGGTGGTGTTCAGTGGCATTCTTTTGTTACATAATTTGTAAGTCCTGTATTCTTTAGGAAGTGAAACTGTCTGAGATACTGTCAGCTTCCGATGTCTGGAAAAAACAGCATGACAGAATGGTTGAAGGAAAGACAGCGCTGGAAATTCAAACAGAAGATCTTAAGAAGTAAGTTAAACTGTTGATCTATTTTTTTGTTTCTGTAGTCATGCAGTCTTGATATTTAGTAGTGTAGTACTCAGATTGACAATGTAAAAAAATAAGTATTTTAATTCTTTAAAATTCTGAGCAGAATTTAAAAGTTGGAAACTAGAAAAAATTTAACATTTGTAGCCTTCTCTCTGCTGCATTTCACAACTTTGAAAACTTCATTCCCCCATACAAGTAGGGAGCATGTTCTTTCCCCTGCATACTTCTGATTAGCCTGAACTTGCTAGTAGCTACTATGCTGCTTCCTCAGAAACATTTATTTAGTAACTGATGAAACAGCTTGAGTGTTAGCTCTTGTGTCTATTGCAGAAGTTTCTACTTTAGACTAATGACAGCAAAATTATCTCAGTTCTGCTAACGTCTCACCCCACTAGAGGATAGAGAAGAGTTCCTCTCAGACGTGTGTTTGAACAATTTATTCTTATAAGCAACGCAACACAAAATTGTCCAACCTTATTCAAACTATGCAGTCTTAATGTGTATGAAGGATATGCTGCTTTGTTTGGCAGAAAGTGACAAATACCCCTTTTCCTTTCCTGTTGGTAGAAATACAGACTATAATTCAAACAAGCAAAAGAAATTTGTAGGTACCTTTATGCTAGGCCTAGGACAGAATGTTTATTTTACAAAGAACTTGGTTCATGCTGAAGTACATAATAGCTCAAACTAAATTGGCTTGACTCTTTTGTTTTTGTGTCAGAAAGTCTGACATTTCTGAAAATATTTTCAGCATATTTTAAAATTTAACAGGAGTAGAGGTACACAGCATCAGCCCAGAAATGTGTCTAGCCCACTATTGGTCTTGTGTGTATGAGGAGACATCTGGGAAAGAATATGAAAAGGGAAACATCTTTGATACTTCCCTGAAGTATTCTTTCTGCTTCCAGCTGATTTTTGCTGGTTTTGTTTTACCTGAAAATGTAAGTCTTTGCTTGAAAGGTACCATTCTAACATGACTTGTTCTACTAGGCAGTGTATGACTAACTAAACAGCAAAATAAATTTTAACTTCATTAACATGAAAAGCAAATGGTGAGGCAATTTGTTAATTAAAATTAAAAGAAAAAAGCACATTTTGTTGCTTTTAATGCTGCGAAGTACCATTCCTAAACTAGCTATGGAATGTTCTTGGTAGGAGATTATCTGATACCTTATAAATCCAGGATCATTCCATTTTGTACATACGTGTATGCATAGTTGTCTTGGAAGTATGCTCGGGTGTTCTAGGCAATGATTTTATCTATAATTGAGCTAGGACCACTTCCTTCGTGGCCCATCTCTCTTTTGGAAAGTTTCTTATTTCAATAGATACTGCTTTCTTGGGGTGCTTAAGTGTATTCTCCCAATTTTTGGGTTGGTTTGTGTTTTCTTTTAATAAAGTAAGAACAATGAAGGAGTATGTATTAAGGTACAATTTAATTTGCACAGTGAGAATTTTGGAAGCGTTATATATGATATAGATGTTCTTGCCTATCTAACAAGGCAGATCACAAGCCTTTTGGAAGACCTGAAAAGAAAGGAGGAATGGAGAAGAAACTCAGATGAGGCAATTCTTGGAAAGCTAAATTCTGTTAACTCTGAAAATGAAAAGATTTACCTTGAAAATGAAAAATTAAAGGTGAGATTTTAAATCATTAATTGCTCTGCATTTCTGATACATAAATAAAATAACATTAATTGCCTTTTCGCCTTCTGTCTAGAGATCACAAACCTGTAGAATAAATTTTGCCATCCATTTTTTACAGTAAGTGAAAATGAGACCTTGAAAATTTATCAGTGGAAATCCATTTCAAATCAGGAACAAGATTGTCTAATTATCTTATCTGCTTAACCAGGATGCCATTTGTTTTACTGTCAGTAGCTACAAAATTGCTTAACTGGAAATTGCTATTTTATGTTTCTAAAATTTTCTTTCAAATTAAAGAACTGAATTTAGCTCAATTATTAATGTCAGTTTTTTGAAGTGTTTACAGGTTTTGTATTGTATTTATCCTCAAAAGTAAATATTCTGGTGAGCTGACGAATGAACTGTGGGCTATTTTTGTTTGACAGGATAAATAACTGTGTCACTCTTTTTAATGTCTGCAAGTCACTTGCTAGTAGTATCATATTGCAAATTGTGTTATTTTAATAACACTCTTACAATTTTGTATTTTCCATGTTTTAATCAAGGCTTCCCTTGCTATATTGGAAACCAGTACTGTTTCTGTAGAAAATGAATTGCTAAATCTGTATGAAAAGGCAAAGCTGCAGGACAACCTTGTTGAACAGTATAAAAATCAGGTGACTAGCATATTTGAAATGTGCAAGTATGGGTTTTAAATTTTTAAGTAGTTTTGAGGAAATTATAAAGGTTTTTTATAATAAAAGATTGTCACGTTGACTGTAATACTATCAAAACATTGAGGATGATAGAAGAGAGTGCCATTACAAACCATATCCAAAAATAGTCTCCACCCTATTACTAGTACCCATAATCTTTACTGAACTGTGTGAAGCCCAGTTGAAGCTCCCTGAAACCAACAGAGCTAATTACATACTTGCTTAGAAAAGATTTGCTTCCTAAAAAGAGCAAATTGGCAACCCAGTAAACTATATTTAAAAAGTAAAATTTGAGTCTGATGTCTTTAGTGGGTATATCCACTGGTATTTTACATCTCCTTGGTCATATCTTTTATTTCCGCATTCCTAAGAACAGTAAAAGAGCACTCAAGTACTGTTGTAAGAGTTATTTTATTTACAGTGGTAGCTCCACATTGAAAATACCCGCAAAACATAGAAATCAGACTTGAAATGGTCTTTTTATCTATGCCTTTTTTGTATTTGGCTTTACTCATGGAGAAGGAAATTTAGAACATTGGTTCAAAGTTGTATGTATTTCTGCTGTAGTATAAGTACCATTTGACTGACGGTCTTCACTTTTTGTTTTTTTTTTATTTAAATTGACAACAGGAAAGACTTGATACTAACTCAATAAGTATGTGATAAATGATTTGAGTCCCAAACAGGATTCCAATTTAAGTTTACAATTTATTAAGCAAATAGAGGCAAGCAAACAGTGCTGGGTGCACCGGGAGTCTCAGCTCCACCAAGACACACACCATACAGTTCCTGTTCTTGGTTTATATCCTGTCTGCCAATACATATTCATGAATAGGCGTGTCTTCTTCGGCGCATGCCCTCTTCTCCTTCTAGAGTCTTCTCGAATCTTCCTCAGCGTGCCCCTCAGGATGACCCCAAACTTTATGCATGCATTTTACAAGTTTCTCTTTACACAATACTATGCGGTCAGTGGTCAAACTGGTTTGAGCTGATATACCAGCAAAGTAGTTTTAAGTTTCTCCTGTAAAATAGAAGTTTTGGTGGGAAAGGCCGAATGGGTTACCCCTTTTTGTGGTGCAGGAGAAATCCATAAAAGTACAGAAGGATACACTTCATCACACAGATCAGATGAACATATTTCACAACCCCCCATCATCTTCTTTATAGTATTGATTAGTGTTTTCATTTCCAATCGAGTCAACACTTGCTGAATTGGTCATCTTTTGTTTTTATTATCATAAGGGAATGAGTTTTCTCTTTCGCTGGTTCAGGATCAATCGATACTGCAGATATCTGCATTCCTTGTATAACCGAGTGGATTAATCTAGTAACAATCCCCCACATATCCCCAATACAACTATCCCGATTTTAGTAAGCCAATCACCACCCATAAAACCTCCCCAAAATCCTCATAGATTGACTCCATTCCAAGTTTGAACTGGGACATATACAATTCATTTCTTTTACAAGCTCATTTACAGCATCAATTTCTAAACAACAGTTACTAAGATTAAATTTTCCACAGACTCCTTCTTGTGCTAGCAAATAATCCAAAGCTAAGCGATTTTGATATAAAGCAGTTCTCATCTTGGTATTTTATTTTGCAATTAATCAGAGTGCATATATATTGGGGTCCTGTAACCCCAGGATCCATCTTCTGCCCATGTAGCTGGATCATGATAGGCAATGATTCTCTCAGGAGGCCATTCGTTACACACCTGGACTCCTAGTCGCTCTCCCCGATTTATGGGTAACAGGAAAAAACTAGGTTTTATAGTTCCAATTCTTTGGCAAATATGCATATGCTAGCTTGCCACAAATCCAATAATGTCCTTCAGGAGTT